CTCTCTCCCTCTCTCCCTCTCTCCCTCTCTCCCTCTCTCGCTCTCTCCCTCTCTCCCTCTCTCCCTCTCTCCCTCTCTCGCTCTCTCCCTCTCTCCCTCTCTCGCTCTCTCCCTCTGTCTCTCTGTCTCGTGTGTGTGTGTGTGTGTCTCCATATTCACTTCTCATAAAAATTCAACAAAGTAACTAAGGCATAAGCTTTAGACAGAAGTGGGAAATCTGTGAAGCACAAATTTGCTGCTAACCAGGTTATAATTGAGTAAGGTGCCTCCTGTTTCTCTTATTTTCCCCCGCATATGAAATGTGGTCAACAACAACAAGGCAAAGAGACTTAAGGATCCTGTAACATATGAAATACTTATCAAGTGTGGAAGTCACTCTTTAATAATAAGAATCAATCCAATGTTTGGAATTCTAGGCAACCTTACACTGTATTAAATTCTCAGCCCTCATTCATTGGGGGAGAACACCTCAGTAAACTATGTGATCAACAAAAGGCTGTGAAATATTTGACTAGGTGAAGATTCATCTCTTTCCATTTCTCTTCCCTTTTAGATGAAATATTGATTGAGCTTTTCAAAATAGAGCTGAAAAATAACTACTTGCAATCAAGTATACTCACTTATCTATGCCATAAACGAAGCTAACAGCAATATTTTCCAAGATGACCACAATTAGCAAAGGCAACGTAGCAGAATAATCATCAAACATTGTAACGAAGTAATTTCCAGAGCGCTGCACAAATATCAAGCCAATACAAAATGCCAGGAGGCAACAGATAACTAAAGAAAAGAAGTCAAAATAAAAATTAGCCTCTCCTCAAATCCCAGTCTATCATTGTAAAATATTACATTCAAATAACATTTTTCAATTTTTATAATTTTTGTATACGCTATCTTGTCTGACTCTATGGAAAATTACATGTTGGGAGTTGGGTTACACATGGCTAACCTCTACTAAATTTAATAGTACATAACTCATATCTTTAATTCTATGAAATCCCACCTGCCAAGTGCAAATAATAACTGAGGGGAAATTGTATAAAAAAAATTTGAAATACATATTCATACCTTATATTTATTATTAATAGAAAAGCAACCTTCCAGGCAGAATGTAGACATAGGTGCTTACTTCATTTATTAAGCTCCTGTAGTTTTCAAATTCCTATGCAATTTTGAATTAATAATGAGCACAGAGGTGCTTATAATGAGATTACCAAATGTACATACTTTCATGTTTGATTGAAATATGATTATCAGTAAAGCATAACAGAGAGATAATTCAATCAGAAAAAGCATCACCATCGACCCATATTTACATACTTATCTTGCCTAAACAGCTTGAGTATGCAAAGTAAAATGATGGGTATGGGCCTGAATATTCTGATTATCCAAGCAACAACTAGGAAAAAAAATTTTACTTTGCTTCTTTACTGCTTAACGTCTAAGAAATAGATTCATAAACTTAAGGACACTTGCTATTAATATAAAAACTTTTCAGATACATTTTTAACCATGTGACTTTTCCACACAACTTAAAGCCATTATCTTAGACTTCTTGGCACTTAAGATAAACAATGACTATATTACATGTCTCAATCCCCTTTTAACATAGATGAGTAAAATTAAAAACAGCAGGGTGTAGCTTTCTCTACGTCCTCTTTGTGGATCAGACATGAGTTCTCAGCTGTTGGTCCAACTGTCTCCTCCCTCAGTGTCTCTATCCCACTCATAGTGTCAAACCCAAATAAATTTTTTTCTTCTATAAGTTGCTTTGGACGTGGTGTTTTATCACAGCAGTTGATAAGTAACCAATATAGGTCAGAAATACAAACAATGTTTTGGAGAAGATAAAAGTGTAAATGTAACATATTAAGTATATCTTTTGTTCTTAAAATAATAATACACTAAAATAATTATACCTACTATTGTATTATTATGAATTATAATCTATTGTCACATAGATATTAATAATACCCAAGAGATAACACAGTTCAATTGCAATTCTCTAACCTCTTACCCACATAAATGGACTACATTGAAGTCAAGAGTAAAACTCACCAGTGAGTATTTCCTTCCTCACTTTGAACGTGTCCACGATAGGAGTGATGATTCCTTCGATGGTTCCAAACATGCTCCCGAGCCCGAGATTTATCAGCATGAGGAAAAACATCACTGACCAGAAGGGAGATGCAGGGAAATGTGTCATGGCCTCCGTAAATGCAATAAAAGCCAAGCCAGTGCCCTGCACAGCCTGTGGAACACAGAAGACAGCAGCACTAACCAAGAGCAAGATAGGGAGATGATGTTTCTCATCAGTGAAGGTAGAGAAAGCACTGTGTAACGACCAGAGCTACTACAAAGAAATATGCTAACATATGCTTTATTTCTCAAATCATGGTCTCATTCCCTGGACACGGATGATATTGAGTAACCAAAGAGTGAAATACAGTTCAGCATTGCTGAACAAAATGTACCATTATATGACATTGTTCATTATTTCAAACATCCTAGAATAATATAATGCATTAATAAGTATGTGGTATTTTTAATTTTGTTAGGGCTTATGAATATAAATATTGATTTGCTGTAATAAAAACCAAGCAACATATAAATATATGTATGCAAATATGTATGGCCTATGAAGTAGCTTACTTAATTAGAATAAAGAAGATAGAATAAAGACAAGCAGATCTCTGTGAATCACAGTGTCAAGTTCCAGGCACATTGAGAGACTCAGTCCCAAGCCACAAAGAAGGATGAAGAAGAATAAGCATTTAACATGAAAGAATGCAAAGAATAAAATGAATTCCTGGATTATAGAATGTCAATTTTCAACCATAAAAAAAAATCCATTTCTAAGAAAATCAACTGGAAACACATTTTTGGTCCCTTTGTTTGCCTGTGTTTTGCATGTCTGTTTGTTTGGTTTTTGTTTGGTTTCTAATTAGAAAGAGATGAAAGAGCATGGGGTTGGGTGGGTGGGAAGTGAGTAGGAGCTGGAAGGGGCTCAAGGAGGGAAAGATGTGAATAGAATGCACTGTATGAAAATGCATCTTTTCCTCCTGCTGGGTGCCTTCTCCAACCTGGATGTGAGAGCTTTTGCCTTATCTCATTCTATTTTGTTTTATACTGTATGATTGTTGTCTCTTAGAAACCTGCTATTTTCTAAAGTGTAAACCTAAAGGGAGTGAATCTGGGGGAGAGGTGAGGTGGCTAGAGAGGGTGTTGGGAGAGCTGGAGGAAGGGAAAACTGTGGTCAAGAAACACATCTCTCAGTAAAATATCTATTTAATATGCATCTTATCTAAATCTAAAATGCCTATACTCTAATATTCAGAAAAAAATTGGGTTAATTTGCTAACTTTCATAATCACAGAAACTGTTAGAGAAAAAGGTTTAGAGAAACACACCAACTATGAGTATATACAAAGACTTTTTAAATAGGACTGCATTTCCACACCAAATGATGCCAACAACTGAAAGCATAAATATCATGAAGTTAAATTTCTACACAAGAAAATAAACAATCAAGTGACTAGGTAGGTTACAGATGAGAGACAGTCTGCTAGCTATAGAACTAACCAATGATTAGTATTCACAATATGCCAAAACTGTTAGCTACTAAATAGCAAGAGTGAAACAGCCCAAGAAGTAAATTGGCTGATTAACTAAACATATTTCTCAAAAGATGAAGGATAAATAAACATATTCAAAGGGCTCAGCTTCATTAGCCATCTAAGAAATAAAAATTAAAACTATATTGAGGTTCCCTCTGATTAAAGTTAGAGTCTCATAATAAAGCCTGGTGAGATTGTGGAGAAAAGGAATTAAATCCACCACCACTAGGAATGAAACTAATCCAATCTGCAAGGAAACCATTAAGAATTTTTCCCTAAAAATGAAACAGATATGTGGTAAAGTCCTGCTGTACAGTGCTTGGTATTCACTCATCGAGCTCCAAGTGAATGTATAACATGCATACTTGCACATTAGTTATTGTAGGACTATTGACAACAGCATAGTTGTGGAGTCAACCTAGGTGTCTATCAAACAATGGAATGGCAGATACAATGTCCTATCTATACATGATGGGATTGTTTCAGCCATAAAGAGCAAAATCATGCTGTTTTCAGAAAAGTTGGTATAACTGGAGATAATCATATCAAGCAGATTAATCATTTCCAGGAAGACTGACCTTGAATGGTTTCTTTCATTTCTGGATCCTAAGTCTTGTGTTTGTGTATATCCATATGCATATACATATGCATGTTGTATATTCATATATATATATATACATATATATATATATTTGTGTGTGTGTGTATATACGTATATACATTTATATGTATGTGTAAGTGTGTGCAACTAGAGAAAAAAGTGGCCCATTTATTCATTTCAGTTTTGATTCTTATTATTTAGTAGTTAACACTCTTTGCATATTTCTGAGTTTTACTTACTTTGTTTTATAGTACACACATACCCATATTTTCCATATATATGTGAAACTTTATATACATACATATATATGCATATATATATATATAAAACTTTATATAAAGTTTCATGTACATGAAAGAATAAGCAACATGGACAGAGGAAAAAAGAACAGAAAGAGGATTATGTATTGGAGGAATAAAACTTTCCAACAAAACATGTACTTATGCACTGTGTACAATAAATATCCATCTATGTGAAAAAAAAATAAAATTTTAATGAAAAAATGAGGCCATGGGTCAGTGAGGAAAATGCTTGCTACACAAATATGAGACTCTCAGTACAGATCCCCAGCACCTGTTAAAAAGTCAGGGATGTTGCCATGTGTCTATAACTGCAGCATGAGTGAGAGGGTTTGGTAGCATACAGTCAAGACAAGCAGATCTCCGTGAATCACAGTGTCAAGTTCCAGGCACATTGAGAGACTAAGTCCCAAGCCACAAAGATGAAAAGTGATGAATGAACAAATCTGACAGCCCGTGGCCTCTCTATACACGCCCACAAGAGATAGTGTCCTCACATACATATCCTACCTTACACACACACACACAGTGACACATCTCATTAAAAAGTAAAACTCTAAACCAGGTGACTGTGTTATTTTGCTAATTCAGCAGATGTCAGATTATTTTAATCATGAAAACCTAGAAATTATATATTCTTTTAGAATTCAAGGTTATCAAAATTATAAATTATAGCTTTAACCATAGTACAGGATCTCTATATTGTATTCCAGGCCTAGTTAACTGTCCTACTGAAAATGACTAATGGCCAATTTCTATCTTCCTATTTGGCAATGTAAGCAAACAGTAACAACCAACAGAAGAACATTAATTCCTTCTCCCCAATTCCTTATTGATTAAAATAAATCATAATCTAAGAAAAATATATAACCAGAATTTATTTAATGGAAACATCAAAATAACCAAAATTATCATTCATTCGTCAAAAACTCAGGAATCAAAATTCAAATTCGGCGCTAATTTTTTTTTTAAGAGAAATCTGTATCAGATTAGTCTTCAATCTGGAGTGGATATTAACTTTTTATGCTAAGACTGCATAGTAGTGTGACTCAGTCAATGAAACTGTTTTTTTAAAATAATGAAAATCTTTGTAAGTAAACATATACTCTGAGAATTTAAAAACTGCATCCCCGGACCTTTGCAATCCCCTTTCCTGAAGAAATCTTCGGATGAAACATACTTTAACTAAATGATAATTCTTTGACTGCTAAGACATGACCTACTAACTTTATTTAGCTCATCTTCAATTTGACAGGCGTTGAGATGAAGAACAGCAAATTCCTCCTCCTTCACTTTTTGAATGATGTCGTAAACTAAACGATAATCTTCTGCCGTGACAGCTGAGAGGTTGATGTGATGGGGAATGACATCCCGACTAATGTTTCCCATTTTCAAGAGTTTCAAGATCATCTCGGAGTTTCTGAAAAGTGCAACAGATGGAGAATGAGCACTGGGGTTCTTTGATCCATATTTTATAGAGAATTATGGCATAAAATGCTAGTGGAGATTAATTATCCATACTGTGAAATGCATTTTTCATTTACGATATTGGCTTTGAACCCCAGAACTGCAAACACCACCAGTGTTGCCAGGACTGAAGTGAAGAAGTTGATAAAAGACACGAGGACGGCATCAAAGTGGCAGTTGTTATCTCTCTTGTTGTAACTCGAAAACGCGATGACTCCGCCAAATCCCAAACCCAAGGCAAAGAAGACTTGAGTCGCTGCCTCTCTCCAAACCTTGGGCTCCAGCATCATTTCAAGCTGTTTGAAATTGATGAGAACAGAAATCAGTAATAAATCCTAGTTCTGAGCAATTCACTTATATGGATATATATATATATATATATATATATATATATATATATAGCCAAAATGTTATACAATATGGTGTAATAAATATTTATAACTATATTTTCTAGGAAGCAGCTAAAAACGCAACAGGAAACAGTATCTATCAAGGTCTTAGATGGAGATCTTCTACTTAAAAAAGAACTTGTCAGTGTTTTCTTAAAAATCATCACAGAAGAGTATGACAGAGAAATTACTAGTCTTTGATAATTCCCCATTATACATCTTTCTTTGTCTTTTCCAAAGCGTAATAAACCTATTTCTAGGACAACTGAAATAGTTCCTTCACATCACCATTCTCTCGAATTTTGAGTTTTTTGAAGAAAATCTGTTAATGGAGCTAATCAGTGTATAATTGGTAGGATTTTGCTGTCGCTGTACCTCTCAGTTGGTGTTGTTCATTCATTTTAATGAGAGTCATTTCTTTGAAAATTGAAGAAAGTCTATTGCATCATTAGTGCTCTGAATATATAAACAAGTTCTATAAGGTCATGCGTACTTCTCTGAAAAAAATCATCAAACCTTTCTAGAATGTAAAAAATAATTAAAGAAAACATTAATGTTATCTACAGCTGACATGGACCTCAGTAAATATTTGAATTAATTTCCAGTCACAAAACAATGCTTAATTCATATTTATTTCTCTTTCTAACATTAAGGTCAAATTGTTTTCATTGAGGGCAATGTCAAGGAACAATGCTAAAAATATGAAATTTACCAAGTTTCAGATCATGTTGCGACTAAGTAATTTAATAAAAGCAAGCCAGGTCAAATAGTAGTCCTCTGGATTCTGCTTTTTTCAATAGAAAGAGTAAAAACAAAATCATCTCCATTGTATCAGCCAAATCCTAATTGTCCAGTATTAATAGTGCATGCAAACTGTAAGTGGCAAACACAGATAAACACTCTTCATGTTCTTTCCCCTGTTTAATATTAACTGGAGCCCATATAGTTGTTAAAACTATTATCTGAGGCTTTGTAAAGATGAGAAACCAGACCACCAATACACAACAGGTCAGAGGCCGGAATAAATAGTAATATATGTGACCTATAAAACTCCCACATTTCCTCAGATATTGAAACGAAGTGTTTCAGTTTATTTTAATTAGCATTAATTTTTAATTACTTTTAATATTTTATGAATTATTATCAAGTATAATTATTGTCTTCATAATATAAGCACGTAATTAATATGCACACATTGTTTATGGAGTATCTCTATGTTGCTGTTCTGTATCATTTTGATGCTTAATTCCAAATACATTGAACTGTCTATCATGGAGTTACCACTAGATGGCAGGAAAGAGACATTTCCAAAGATTTCATTTAGCATGCATCCAAATTGAATTTCCCCTTGCTGTTTCTGGGTAGTTTGTGGGCTTAGTCACTTTCTTCCTTCTGTAAACTATGTAAATTAAAATAACATATAGTCAAGTGTGGTGGCTCATGCCCATGATCCCAGAATCTAGGAGGCTGAAGCAGGAGACTATAGGATTAAGGCCAGTCTGAACTAAGTCCGAGACTATCAAGGGTGACAGAAACTAAACAAACAAAACATATACTATAATTATTATAATTTTTATAGCATCACACGAGACCAGTGGTTCTCAACCTTCCTAATGCTGCAACCCTTGAATACAATTCCTCATGTTGTAGTGACTCCCAACCATACAATTATTTTTGTTGCTACTTCATTTAACTGTAATTTTGCTACTGCTATGAATCATAATATAAATATTTTTGGAGATCGAAGTTTGTCAAAGAGGTTGCGACCCACAGGTTGAAAACCACTGCCCTAGAGTAAACTAACACCATTTCACCAATAGTGACTGGAAAGTGAGCTGAAAAGAGAAGAAAGAAAGAAAGAAAGAAAGAAAGAAAGAAAGAAAGAAAGAAAGAAAGAAAGAAAGAAAGAAAGAAAAGGGA